GGAAGCCAATTTAGATTTTTTTTTAAAACAAAACGACAGAAACGCTAGTTTGGGGAGATTTTTAAAAAAAAAAACAAATTAAAAGAGTTGCTCGCTCTTTTGAAGTTGATAATACTACTACTATTAATAATAATATAGCGCCTTATCACGTCTTTGAGACGTCTCAAAGTGCTTCACAAAATATACTGTGAAGTGAATCGACTGTATATTTTGTGGGCAAAACATGGCAGTCAATTACGTACAGCAGCGTCCCACAAACAGTTGTGGATTGAGTGACCAAATTATTATTAATATTATTAACCATCATCACCAAATAAAAGCTTGCATTGAGTTTCACAGATCTGAAATACTTCCTGCAAAATCACTGCAGATATATCACAGCCTCATCAGTAAAGAAAGAGACATGAAAGAATAATTAGTGCTTAGAAGAGCAATTTTGTTTGCGTGCCGATAAATCATATATAGAAGTCCAAAAATTGCTTGGATTCGATTTCAGACCATATAAAATCAGAGTGTATTTGGAGCCAAGTCCCCCACCTTTTAATTTTACAGTCGAATCTTTCTTCCCCTCCACCCCACACCACCATTTCACTCCTTGCAACCACCTTCCCCGAAATATCGGATTGAAATCAACTCTTATTGGCTCTGTATCGGTCCTTGTATTTGGCCGATGCTGTATAGTTTCTGTTTACATTCAGTGTCTCGTATTAAAAGGAATAATTTGAGAACGCCACACTGTTGGGTTGTACCCTTTTTTTGCAAAAAAAAATCTATAATAAAACGCTTGATTTGATTACATTTCACCATCGCGGCACAACAGAGGGAACTTCTGAAGGAAGACTGGAATTATGGCAACATGATTACAACGTTCACCACTTTCTTTTCAACAAAAAAGGAATTTGGGCCTAAAAGTGAAACCAAACAGAAGCAATCGCTGATTTAGAACAAGCAGCTTAAAGCAGCACACATTGGAAGGCTGGGGAATTATTTAAAATGATGCCACTTTGTTGAGAAAAAAATGTTCTTGCAAACCATGTACCTTTAATTGCATATGCCACTCTGTGCCGTGCTATTTAATCAATTATACATTTGTTTCCCTTTTCATTTTCAGCGCTAGATTTTGTGCTGGGGAATTGAACATGTTAATCTGTCGTGTCAAGCGTCAAGCATTTGCCAGAGTGGGTTACGGCACGGGGTGAAATCGCCTAAATATCCACGAGCCCACCCCAACAATGTGCCCCTTTGTGTCCACCAAACACAAGTCTCCCCGACGCGCCCAGCCAACTTCACGCAGAACTGCGATCTTCTTCCCTGCCCACGCTTGCCATTCTTGTGCCCTCTCAGGCCCACGTTGGCAATTTAGCGGCAAATGGTGGGCAGTTTCCGCGCTCACCCCTTTGAAGGCACCTTGTATTCATTCAGTTAGAACGTTATTCATACCAAGACAACAAAGCTGAAAGTCATTCTGTTAATTCACCTTATTACCAGGGCCCAATATTTACATTTTTTTGATCTCCCCAAAATAGCAACGAATTGCCTGATCAGTGTAAACGTGGGAAACACAATGTTTCACTGCCTGCAGATGTAATCCGGTCATTCCCTTTTCTCTTCCCATTTTACTGTTGCTGAACAGTTTCGGAATGGTGCTTAAGGCTAGGCCGGTTGGAGGGATTGCATTTGTACTGAATTCCCACGTTTAAGAGAATACCTATATCTGATGCATCGACAACACTTGTCAGTCCGCAAGTTCTGTAAAATGTGTCAGTCCAAATTAAATTCACAATAAGCACACTTTCCTCTCCCCCAACAACCAGCAAAAGCAATATTGCAGACCTGATCAAACTGCGTTTATACTGAAGGATTCAGTTGACAGGACAACGTGTAGCTTTTTCTGTGTGTAACTGTTGGAGTGGGTGGCACAGTGATTTTGTACCTCTAAAAAAAACATTTAGAAAACTCGGGGCACTTCCAACAACCAATATTTTGCACTTATCTAATGCCTACTGCTACCCAATTCAAATTATAGCTTCGAAGCCCGCAAGCCACAGGCCTTGCTTTCACCGTTTCACACTTGTTTTAAAAAAAACTTTGGGCAGCTGACAACAGAGGACTGACTGCAGAGACAGTTTATCAACTGATGGTATTAATATAGTGCATAATATATATATATATATTTATTTATATATAGCTTCTGTTTAAACTGAATCTTCCCCAAATGCTCAGCAGGTTCAAGCACTGCCTCGTCTTACACTAGACCTACAGACGAGATAATTACAGGTTCAAATATCAAATCTGTTCTCAGTTGGGGTACTATAATTGGTTCTGGACTGGAGCGGGGGATAAAAAAAGTAGCCAAGGACCCTGCTTATGATTGCTATCCAGTTCTGCATGTCTCACAAAGCTGGGATGTCCTTCCGACGTGAAAGGCGCTACACAAATGTAATTTGTTATTTGTTGTGTGAGAATAGGATTAGACTCACAGGTGAGAAAATGGTCACTTTTCAGGAGGAATGAAACGGCTGGAGAATCAACATCATCGAAAGGCAACGGGGAGAATACTGGGGGGGGGGAAATGTGGGCCGAGACACAGCGCAAATTATCTTTTTAAAAGAATGTTTGTTGATGAAAAGTTATCGTGTAGCAGCGGTGACGGGAGGTACAGTACACCAATTTACAGGCGGTCGTTTTGATAGTAGGAACGAGAAATGAAAGCAAAGGGACAGATGCATGGGTCAGAACTGGGAGAACGAGTGGCGCATTAATTTCTTAATTAAAAAAAAATGAAGCCCAATATTGACAAGAAGTATGGGAAGGAAGGGCAAAAAAAGGAAGAAATCAGAACCAGAGGGAGATTACAATGATTCTTTTCTCAAACGCAGCAATAAAAAATGAGTGTTCTAAGACTGTTTGAACATGTACTGTAAATATAGTGTACGTATTATCAAGCAACCTGCCTGATTGATAATTATAATTCACAGTTTATGTAAGACAGCCCCTTTCACTTTCAGTTTTACCTTAAAGGATAGAGCAAAATGTCTTGCTTTGTACATTGGAAGTTCCCTTCATCTGTTATTACTGAAGAATGTTTATAATGCTTCTAGACCATGAAACTATTTAAATATTAATAGGACAATAATGCAGCTTTGTTATCCGATACAGTCTGTCTGGACTGATTAGCTACACTTGGATTGTTTGTAGATTATTGCAAGATGCTCTCATCCTTCAGACTGGGAGATTTCTTATCCCTTCGTCTTAGGGGGAGGAAAAATAAAGTGAAAATGGGCTGTAAATTTACGGCCTATTCAAAAATCACTTCGCTCACAGTTACAGTACTGTGGCCCCAACTATTTTCGAGGTCAATTTTTTTTAAAAATGAGAAAACAAAACCGAAGAAGGAGAATTTTGCTGTCTCATAACCAGAACAATTTTTGAGTGGTACGTTTGGTCATGTAAATAAGCACATTTCTACTTTTTTTCTCAGGTGGAAATGACTGTCTTCGTGTTTTGTTTTGGGGTTTTCTTTTTTTTTTACTCGATTGCTCAAGAACATCCAGACTGAGATTTTCTGAAAAGTTATAACAAGACAATTTTTATCAGTCGAGCCTTCCCCATCCCAACCCCCCCCCCCCCCTTTGCTATATACAGTAAAGTATTCCCTTCCCTTGAATGAAAACTAGCATTTGCCAGTGTGCAAACCATGTACTGTCTCACTATTCCATTGGGTTTTAATGGCATTTTAAATTTTGTGGGAGGTTTGTGATCAAGTTTCCAAAGGACTGCGTTAATTTCATCGATAGTTGGCCCTTTACCAGATTTTTTTTTGCCCTCTGTGTGTCTGTGTGTCGCTATGTGTATGGTTTGCAAAAAGCTCTTACATTTCTACTGAAACGTGACCAAAAAAATACAAATATAAGCCACTGCTCTCTGAGAAACAGCTATGCCACGAAAAGGGAGTTTGTTAGACAGCGCAATATCGAACATTTCTAACCTGCAAAGCTTTTTTTTTCCCCCACAAAAAAGAAATAGAATGCAATTTACTATAAAACTATAAAACTCCTTCCTAAAGCTTTCAGATCTGCTGAAACACACACAGAAAGAAGTTTTTTTCTTTGCTAATCTCATCCCTCCCGTGTGTGTATATATGTAGATACGTGTGTATAAAGCAAATGCGGCTTTTTGACCTCAAAAAAGGTGATATAACGCGGAAAATTCATCGAGCAAATTTGATAGGAGAGAGAGCGAAAGGGGGGAGCAATTTATGCCACTGCTATTCACTAAAACTGCAGGAAAAGTGGGCAAACAAATGCAGATTGCATCCCAAAAGAGGGAAAGAAGTGCTATCCTTCTCTTTTCGAAAGAGCAGGAGCTGAAAGTCCTGTTCACTGGCAAAGAAAAAGAGGAGAATCTGAACTTATTGGCTAAGGCAGCACATAAAATATTCAAACTTCAACCCAGCGCAACATCACTCCAAGTCTATATATTTCTCCCCCCCCCATCTCCTTCTGCTCTGAACACATCGCAGGCGTTTTTTTTTTATGGCACCGACAAAATCTGAGCCAAGTACCAGAGAGAGAGAGAGAGAGAGAGGGAGAGAGAGAGGGAGAGGGAGGGAGGGAGAGAGAGAGAAATAGAAATAATCAGCAATAAGGGTTTAATGAATGAAATTTGCTCACTGTAAACCAGAGCATTGCTGCAGAAATGATCCCGCCATTTTCAACTGTAATTGATTTTCCCCCAAAAAAAAGAAAGGAAAAAAAAAAAAACCCACATAAGAGCTTTGCAAAATTTACGAGGATCGCAGGAGGAAATGCAGGTTGTTTTTTCTTCCCCCCCCCCCCCCAACACAACAACAACAACAACAACAAAAATACAAGAGATAAAGCCATCCAAACCGGATCAATACACGATCGATTGCAAGAGAGGGAGAGAAAGAGAGATAGATAGATAGATAGAGAGAGAGAGAGAGAGAGAGAGAGAGAAAAAAAAATAGTTGGCATTACCTGAGTCAGACAGAGTGGTGAATACATCATGACAATCTGGGATTCAAGTGGGTTTCAGATCATGCAAAAGTTACTGTATCGTTGTGACATTTCTCACCACGATCTGATGCTCCCCAACACTCACACACACTCACTCAACTCACTCTCACTCACTCTCACTCACTCACTCACACACTCAGTCACTCACTCACTCACTCACTCACACACACAGACACACAGACACACACACACAAAAAAATAAGTGTGAGCCAATTTGATCAGAGGGTAAGTGGGGAAGAGCAGCAGCTCTGAAAGATCAGCTTCATTTGCGAACCTGGGTGACAGATACACACACACACACACACACACACAGAGGGAGAGAGGGAGAGAGGGAGAGGGAGGGAAGGAGGGAGAGAGAGTGTGTGTGTGTGAGAGAGTGAGAGCAAGGAGGGGAGGGAGGGAAGGAGGGAGGGGGGGGGGAAACGGAGAGAGAGAGAGAGAGAGAGAGAGAAAGAGAGACAGACAGAGAGAGAGAGAGAGAGAGGGGGGAGAAACACAGAGAGAGAGAGAGGGAGAGAGATGGGGAGGAGAGGAGGGGGTTGTGGGGGAGAGAGAGAGAGAGGAGGGGGTAGGTTGGGGGGGGGGGGGTAAAAGATCCTGAAATGACGCGTCCGACCAAACCAAACCCCCAAAACATCTGACTTCAGAGCATTTCTGCCATTAGCCCCAACATTTGAGCAGCACTCTCTCTCTCCCCCCCCCCACCCCCCTACCCCCACCACCCACACACCCCCCCCCCAAAAAAAAACACTCTGCCAAGCAGACAGCCAATAGATCCGAGCAACTAGGAAATGGCAAACCATGTAAATAAAAGCCTGACCACAATTTTCTTTTTCTTAACCCTTTGATGATGCTATTGTTTTTGCAGCCTGAGCAGTTTGCAGGCAACTGGGGTGGGGGTGGGTGTGGGGGTGAGGGGGGTTGGTTGGTTGTGGGTGGGGGGGGAAAAAAGAAAGAAAGAAGAAAGGAAGGAAGGAAGAAAGTGTTTGGGGTGCAGAGGAGGAGGAGAAGAAGAAGGTTTTTTTTTAAAACAGAAAAGTTTGTCCCAGCTTTAAGAAGTTTAATTGCAAAGGGAGAGACGACTCCCCATTAGACTGGGCGACACAACACGACACCCCCACACCCCCCACACCCACCCACCCCCCACCCGGCTAAAAAAAAAAAGCATTTGGGGTTCCCGACGTTTGCACCTCTGTAACTTGACGCAACACAACTTTGTTTGCAAACGTCGTTCGCGAAAGAAAAACGCCACTTTCTATTTTTCACCAATACCTGCTGTTTTTTTTCCCCCTCTCCCACCCACTCTCTTTCTCTCTCTCACTCTCTCTCTATACTGTGTATATATTATATATAATTATATATATATTATTATATATATTACAATAACAAAATTTATTTATTTCTTAATATATATTATATAATATAGAATTATATTATATGTTATGTAATATAATTATTATTATGTATTATATCATACATAGATTAATAAATGGAAGGCTAGACCTTCTAAAAAACGTCTACCAGGCAACACACACACACACAAAAATCAGGAGGTAATAACATTTGTAAGACAGCACCTTCACACCACGTTCGCTTGTCTGACAACTGGACTTGGCTTGCGAGTAATTTCAGACCATCCCAAACTCTGTTGGATCACAGGACTATTTCTGTACTCAATTCACTGTTTGTTTTGGGTTTCTCATCCTTTTTTTTTTGGGGGGGTGGGGGGGGTGTCCACAAATGAATTGGAAGCCAGCCTTTAGATTAGTGAAGTTGTTTTGAGTTCAATTGCAATGAGCAACATTTTGTGTGTGTGTGTGTATATATATATACACATACACACTGTACACCCCCTCCCCAACTCCCCCAAAAAGTTAAATATTTATACCTTACACGGGGACAGATGAAATAGCAAGTTATTGGAAGAAGAAAAATCACTTCACAAAGAGAGTGGAAGTGAATCATAGAAAATTGCAAGTGATACACACACAGCAAACGTAAACGACTCCCCCCCCCCCCCACACACACACACACAGAAATAAACAGTCAATTCACTTTGCAATGCATTCAGTCAAGTGCTTTGAGACGTCTCGACGGGGGTGATGAGGGGCTGTATCAAATGCAAGGATTATTATTATTATTATTATATATAAAAAAAGGGGGGAAGGCGAGTGCACTGAGATATTGTGTCGGGGAAAGCTTTAGATTGCAGTGAGAGCTCAGATGCAGTCTTTTAAAAAAAAAACAGCAGGCCCGTGGAACTATCTTGCAGCCTCTGTTAATTTCCCTGGATTTTATCCCCCCCCCACCCCACCCCCACCACCAAAAAAAAAGAAGAGATGACCTAAAGGATGGGCATTAAAGAGCAATGGAGATAGTGTGCAGATTCCAGGACTCCAATCATCGGTATGTCAATAATAAAAAAAAACTATATGTCAGTGGGGGGGGGGGGGGGGGAGCTCTGGGGCTCATAATAAAATTGATCGTTTACTCTGCAGAATAATGCATTTCTTTTCACAAAGCGACTTTATCAGCACAAATCATTCTGTGCGTGGAAACAAACGCGACGTGTCCACTTCAATGACCTATTCCTATGCTTTGTTTCCCTTACAGACAGAGATACGCTGGTGGCGGTGTATATGGCTCTCCCCCCCCAAAAAAAAACCTCTCTCTCTCTCTCTCACACACACACACACACGCACAAAGTTTTGTGTTTTCAGAAAAAAAAACGTCTACACCGAATCAAAAATATCCCCTGAAAATAGGAATACATTTGAATATCCACTGACGTTAAATGCAAATGTCCTAATACTCATCACAGTAAGTCGACAGCAGTTTTGCTCGACCAGATACCAAATGCATCTGACACCTAACGCTGGTTGTCCTGTTATGTCTTGATTGAATCGATTAGGGACATACAGTAAGTGTGTGTGTGTGTCTATTTAGCGCCTTGGGACGTCCTCCCGACGTGAAAGGCGCTTTACAAACGTAATTGTGTTGTGTTTCTTTTTTTTTCAGTGGGGATACTCACTGTAAAGTATACTCACTGTAAAGGCCAAGTTAATGTAAAAAGCTACATTTTGATTTTGTTTTATTGCTGTGGTGCCCTATCCCAGAGAATTAAAGTATATATATATATATATATATGTGTGTGTAGTAAACTTTATTGAAATGCAAACTGCGTTGAAGTGGTAGGTAGGTAGGTAGGTAGGTAGGTAAGTGGGTGGGTGGGTGGTGCTGGGGATCTGACTAGTGTGAGCCACAAGCTGTAGGATCAACCATTTCATCTGCAAAGATGTGTAATTCCCTGAAGTACATAGTTGTTTTAACAAGAGAACGTCTGGGAGGGTTCAGAAACAGGTAGATTATATCAAGCCATGAGGCTGAAACAAACCATTTCCTTTTTATATATATATAATATATATATATATTATATATAAAAAGGATAAATATATAATATATAATATATATATATTAAAAAAGGGCTTGTAAATATTGGATTGAAATCTGGGCCTTGGTTTAACTCTGACTGATAATCCACACAGCCTAAATAAACAACACTCAATTTATTTCCCCCCCCAACAAAAACCCCCCAACAACTTTGGTGAATAAGAGTATCAGAGATTGTCCTCCAAATAAAAACCAACCAGTCTAAAAAAAAACCACTCACACGCACTGCAAAAGCAACATAAAAACAAGTCACCAATTCATCCACTAATTAATTAATAATTCCCTGGTTCCTTAAACGTGCATTTATTTTTCTCTCTCCCTCCCCCCTCTCTCTCTCCCTCTCTCCCTCTCTGTATCTGCCTGCCCTCCCATTTAATGTTTTCTTTCAACTTAGCCCCCCCCATCGACTCTCTGAAAATAAAAAGAGTTGTCACCTCTACCAAGGTGATACAGTGCAGGTTTTTTTTTTACTTGTGAGTGTGTGTGTGTGTGTGCATCATTTTCAGATTGAAACTATAAGGCCACACACACACACACACATAAAAAAAAACGAGGAAGGTAAAAAAAAAGAGAGCTGAGAGAGATTTGGAGGAGGAGTGGGGTAGGAGTGGTGGTGGTGGGGGGGGTGGAGTGTCCCTTTAATAGGGAGGTTGGTTGGAGCGAGTCCGAGTTTTGGTCGCGCCTCCTCGGCTGACGAGTCAAGTTCAAGCCGCTGATTTCCTCCACGGCTCCTCGGCCATTACAGCTGGGAAATGACACTTCGCTGCACTTGAACTTGGACCGGGGGCTTAGGTCGACATGCACACGTATGCACATCACGACACAAATGCATTTCAGCTGTTTTTAATATATATATCTATATAACCCCCTCCCCCCCCCCTCCCCTCCACTGCATATTAAAAGAAATGCTTTTGCTGATGGGAAATGTGCCAGTCCACAAGCTTTGCCTTTTTTTTTCTCCCTCCCTTCCCTTCCCTCCTCTTTTTTCCCCCCACCCCCCACCAAAAAAAAAAGAAAACACACACACGCACACACACGCAATCTTGGGTGCAAAAAAAAATAAGAGAAGGAGAAGAAGAAGAAGAAGAAGAAGAAGAAGAAGAAAATAGATTGATCTGCGTTGTGCAGGAGGCGAGAAAAAAAACACGCACCAGCGAAGGAACAGAGGGAACTGCAAGTGCAATAAACATTACCATCTCTCGACACACACAGACACACACACACAGACACAGACACACACACACACACAGTCACACAGTCACACACACACACATAAAAGCGACCCCATCGCAGAGAGTAAAGAGAATACGTACCATTGCCATGTAATGTATGTGCGGAATGAACTTCCACCTCGAATTACTAAGCGTTTCCCTTTAACGCTTCATTTTGGAAATCCTTTCCCCCCTTCCACACCCCCCCCCCAACCCCAACCCCAACCCCCCCCCAACCCCTTTTCTCTCTCTCTCTCTCTCTTTCTCCCCTCTCTCTCTCTGCAATTTTCCCCTTGACTTTGCCTTTCAGGGGAAATATATATATATATATATATATATATAAAATCTATGTCTCTCTATATTTATATGTACTGTATATATTTTGTTCAGCTCTCTCGCAACCCTGGCCCTGTGTGTGTGTGTGTGTGACTGTGAATGCGTCTATTTGCTCCCCCCCCCACCCCCCAACACTCTCTCTCTCTCTCTCTCCCCTTCTCTCTCTCTCTCTCTCTCCCCTTCTCTCTCTCTCTCCCCCCACCCCCTCCCACCCCCACCCCCCTCTCTCTCTCTCTCTCTCTCCTTCTACAGTAAAAATCCACTGGTAAGTCCAAGGCTATCTATCAGTGGGTCCTGACTGCCCTGGAGGAAGAATTGGGGGGATGGAGGGGGGGGCTGGGGGGGGGGGGCTGGCTGCCTTGGCTGGCTGGTTCACTGATGAGTTGGTTAGTTAGTTAGAGTTAGTTAGTTTGATGATGATGGCGCAGGATAAAAATAATACAGAAGTCAAGCGGTCGAGACGTGCTGCTGCTGTTTATTTCCGCAATGGCTTATTTGCGTAGGGAAATGACTTCATTAACATACAGACTGAGGCCTTTGCAATAGAGACCACATCTTTTTTGCAAAGCAATATTGCATCTCTCACTCTCTCTCTCTCTCTCTCGATCTATCTCTCTTTCTCTCTCTCTCTCTCTCTCTCTCTGTGTCCCTTTTTTTTGCACCACCTCCTGTGTGTCAGTGCACAATCTTCAGTCGAATCCCACCCCACATCAGATCAGAAGTATAAAAACATACTGGAAGGATTTTTAGTGTGTGTGTGTGTGGGGGGGGGGGGGGGGAGGGGGAGGTTGGGGGGGAGGGAGGAAGGGAGGAGGGGGCAAATGGGGTGTTAGAAAGGGGGAGGGGGGTAACAAGGAAACATGTGGTCCTCAAAGGCACTTGGAACGACCTTTTTACTGGTGGTGAAGTGGTTGGGGAATGGGGAGGGGGTGTATTTGTGTGTATGGTGCTGGTGGGTGGGTGGGTGGGGGGGGGGGGTTGTCTCATTATAATATATGTTTATTACAAAAATAACCTGAATAATGACATGCCTGTTTTTTTTTTAATTTCATAAATACATAAATACATAAATAAATAAACGAATAGAAAAAAATTTCTCCAACTAAAAAGTTAACTTATTGGCCAGGGAGTAGAAAACATTGATTGTTAATAATAATAATAATAATAGTAATAATAATAATAATCTTTGATGACCTTTATTGTCTCTTGTTTCTCAAACTCGGGGAAACCTCGAAATTGTTGTTTTTAGATAAAACGCTTAAACTGGCAATTTCTGCAGAATAGAACCAGGTCGATGAAGGCAGAGAGCAGAGTTATTTCTGGAACATTTAGCCACACTTTTAGACTGCAGACTGACGACGGGAGCTAAAGAGTTTTTTTTTGAAACAAAAATGCTTTTGCAAAGCAATATTGCATCTCTCTGTCTCTCTTTCTCTCTCTATCCCTCTCTCTGTCCTTTTTTTTTGCACCACCAAAAAACAGTATTTTTTTAAACAAAAATGATACTGTATTTAAACAAAAGCTGAATTGAAAACTTGTAAGTAACGCACACACGGTATAAAAACAGGTTCAGTGCAATATTGGTACAATCCAGACACAAAAGGTACAGTCAATTTACTTTATAATATTTCTGTGCAGTTTTGAGTCAATCTCAACGACGTGATGGGGCGCTGTATTAAATGCAAGGATTATTATTATTATTACTATTAACTGCTGTGGGCCAACTCCAGTGGTGCATAAATGTCAACAGAACCTGTTATTAATAATATTATTATTCAAGTGTAATGTACAAGGAGTGAAAGGGGTGACAGGAATCATATCACTGAGCAAAAGTAACCACCGACTCGTTCGTACCAGAAACACTTGGGTTTCCAACTTTATCTCTCTGTGTTTGACCGAGTAAGCTATCACAGAAAGCATATGTTTAAGGGGAGAAAAAAAAGTTATCTGTTTTTATTTGCACTGGGAAAAGTTATTTCACATATAATAGTCTCCCCCCCCCAAAAAAAACACCAAAATGCTTCTGAAATCAGGTGCATCCATCAACCTCGCAATCCTTAACCTGTGCCTGAATTTGCTTTATTTTCCATTCGATTTCCTAATGTGCTTTTCAGCCTTTCAATGAACAGTAATGGAAATAATAGTGTGTGTGGGGGGGGGGGGGGGGGGGGGGGGGAGATTAACGCTATTTTTTTCTGGGGGTGGGAGGAAAGAAATTTCCACCTGGGTCCAGATTTTACTCTATGTTCATGTTGCATTTCAGAGTGTATGAGATTTGACAGATCCTGAAACACAAACCTTTCGGTTTTGGGAGCTGGGATTTTTTTTTGTGTGTGTGTGTGTGTAGAAAGCTGCTTTTCCAAGAATGGCTGAGAAATTAAATTCAAAGTTCAGGGGCAATAGACTCAATAATCTGAGGCACTCTGGACGCGACATGTGTCCAGAGAGAGTAAAGGCAGAGCAATTTGGTGAAATTTGCCCTCTCAACTGAAAGCCCCACACAGGTGATTTTAAAAGATGGATCAAGTTAGAAACTGGACCACATTACACACTGCTTAAAATAAAATAAAACAAAATAAAACACGAAACATTTACACGATTCGGGAGCAATCAATGAGATTCTCCATCTCCCCAGTTTTTTAGTGGCAATGTAACACACACATCATTATAATTGCAACTCTCTCTTTCTCTCACACACAAAATACCCCAACACATTTAGAAGTAAACTAACAGAGATGAACAGGCATCAAGCACAGTTCTCTCTCTCTCTCTCTCTCTCTCTCTCTAGAGCAGGTGCTGTCTCATTCAAGATTTCTCCCCCCCCCCCCAAAGCCATCAACAGAATACAGTTAAATGTTAGTTCGATGTCCTTTCAAGGCTCAACCTGGTGTGTTTTTTTTTGCAGGCTGGGTTGCAAAAGGAATAGCCTTTTAATTAAAATACTGCTGCTGCTAATCATCCTTGCACTTGAGAGTGTTTGCAATTTATACGTTCAGTAATTTACTTTCAGATAAGGTGATGAGTTGGAGGAGAGTACTGGCGCTTATTCACTCACCCACTCACTCACTCACTCACTCACTTTAACACTTCACGTTAATTAATATTTTTTCTCTCTCAGCTGGAGGATAGGGAATGAGGGTTTGGGAATTTCTGTGGAAGAGACCAATCATTTTTGATCAAAATGCAAATGGAAATCTCTCGTGAGGTGTATGTATGTGTGTGTGTGTAAATTTACACGTCGCAATTTCAAGACTTATTTTTTTTACTCTTTTCTAATCAAAAGAGGGAATGAATTGCCAGAAAACCCAAATGGCAAAAACCTTCCATCCAATCTCCCACGCAGTTACTCGCATTAATTTGGAGCCTTTTGACATAGACTGAAAGGTGATGTGTACAGAGAGAGGTGTTGTTGGAGTTCATAATAATTATAATAATAATAATAATAACCTTTGCACATGATATAGCACTTTTTTCACGTCTTATAGAGTTCTCAAAGGGCTTCACAGAATATACCATCAAGTGCACTGACTGTGTAAGTGTGGGCGTAAATATAATATTAATAAATACTAATAGGGTATAAAACAACATCGGAATTTTTTTCTCTCTCTCCCAATACCCGACTCGTTCTGGACGAGGAGAAGTCATCGTGTTCAGCGGCTATCGGTGATGCTGTGCCTTCAATTGGGGCGAAAATAAGCGGATTCCGTTAATTATCTGAGGGCGACTGATATTGGCCATCAATGAGCACAAGGATTGGAGAGGGAATGGGTCTCTGGGTTCTGTCTCCTCTTATTTGTAGTGGTTGGGTCGTGTGTGTGTGTGTATATATGTATATATATATATATGTATATGGGGAGATATTAAATGAAAATTGTGACAAAATTAGGTGAGAATTACATGACATTTACCTACAAAGCCCAACTCGTTGTCTCCAGACTGCGACATCAACACTTGTCACTGAATCTCAAGCCCCAAAAGCCTCAATAAAAGAACATTTGTATTAACATTTAAAAATCCTCACCCCCGACACAGCACTCTATGTCGGGAAGACGTCTCAAGTGTAGTGACTGTTTGTTTTGTGGGCGGAACTGACTTTAACTTGCGACCAGGATGATGACATTGAACAAATATGCAGAGTTAGTCAAATGCCTCGATTCAGTATCTCTGTACATTAATGAGGAGGAATTGATTCACTGAATGAGGGTTAGTGTCGATCACTTACTTATTCGATGGCGATTGAAATTGACCAGAATATAATTCCCTTCTGCACTGATCCAAATTGTGTTAAAGGGACAGTTTTAATGAATGCAAATGTTTTCTCATTCTTCTTCTTCTTATTGTTATTATTATTATTTTTCTCCTACTCTCTCCCCACCACCAAGAGGGATTCCAAGGAAAACTCAAGCCAGGAGCACTTAAACACCACAAAAAGTTGATTTAATCCCGACAGGACTGCAAGAGATAAAGACAAGAAAGGAAGTGTCTCCTCGTTTCACGACCAACTGTAAACCCACATAATAAACTGATCACTTGATAAATGTTTGTGAGACATTGCTGTCTGCCTACAAAAAACACACAAACCACTTGATTTGGTAGCAATTGCACATTTAAGGGCTTTCAGATATTGTAGGCGTCACCTCAAATACAATATAACATATTTATAATATAATATATTTATAATATAAGTGTAATATCGTATAGTATATATATATTTACATTTATCCCAACTTATGCACTTAAAGTCGGGAAGGAGGGAATGAAACCCTTAGAAAAAATTGATTCAATAAATCCAGATTTTCCAATGCATTTGCAAAACATTTTTTTTTTGCCTTTCAAAGGATTATTATTATTTTTTTTTCGGGCAGCTTTGCGAATCGCAGGA